AATGTATTGTATTGATCATATCCCATTCGTATTGCCACCTGCCTGATCTAGATATAAGCAAGGACTACACCGCACTCCAAACACTGGTGGAGGCAGCGGAGAACAGCACGGGCGATTCCAACTCAACTCAGACGGCATCTATCAAATCCACTGCCGATGAGAAGAAGGCAAACAAGTCTCGCGCTACAGCCACACAGCCTAGGACGAGTGCAAAAGTAGACAACAAACCGAAACAGAGGCTACGACGCGGCGCAAGGACCAAGCGTGCAGCGGAGGAGTCCGACAAATCCGACAAATCCGACAGCGAGAACGAGAGTCTTCTGGCCAGTGCACTGACTAATGGACGCAGGAGTAAGAAGGCGAAGGTGTATGTGGGTGGGGATAAGCGGAAGAACAAGAAAACCACTACAAAGCCGAAAAACATAGACAATGGTACTGACGAGACTGAGCCCATATTAAGGGGGAAGCGGAAGCGGAAGGATGCCGATCATGAGAAAACCCAAGCTGAGGCGAATGATAGTGAGAGTGGCGAGGATTCCGATAGCTCGGATAGTCAGGGGGATGCTACGAAGAAACCGAAGCGTGCGGTGGGAACGCAGTCAGGTTCGGAATCTTATGACATGTCGATTATGAAACCAAAAGCCAGCACGAAAAACGCAACGGTGGAGCGCAAGGCAGATAGCACGAGTGTGGATACGAATGAGAGCAATGGTTCTCCCCAGCGGGAGGATGCAGAGAAGGTCATGCCTGCGTCTAAGAAACGAGTATTATTAAGGCGGGTTAAGAAAGCGAGTGAGAGCAGTGAAGATGATGACGGTAATAGATCGCAGGAGGAGAAGAGTTCTGAGACACCTAGTGCCGATCAACAAACTGGGAAGAGGATAGCCTCGAGACAGGTCATGGATGATAGTGATGAGGATGACGAGTAGTGTTAATATAGTAAAACAGGACAACAAAGTACGATACAACGGGTGCTTTGATACAATTTATATCCCGTTATATGATTTGTGGTAGTGCTAGTGATAGGCATGTGGTGTGGGCGGGCATACTCTTCTAACTAAATACGAAGCGTATCGGCGTCTATGGCGCTGTCCGCGCTTGCAACTCTGTCTTGTCGTACAATCTTACGACCTTTATTGATTCAGTAAATCTTTGAGATAATACTCTAATTTCCAATGTCCGTCCTTGAACAAGCACTAATGGAAAACAAAACTAGACCTCTCCGCTGGTTTCTCAGCAGCTACCATGTATACGTGTCTTTTATTTCACGAATGTGCAAGGTCCAGCGAGAAAAACGTTATTTAAGAGAAGATTCAATGTTTTAATGGTTCTCTACGAGAGACAATCAGACCGAACAGTTGAATATTTTGCCAGTGTACATGATGATATTCTATATCTTGCTTATTGATAATAAAAGCTTTGAGCGTAGGAGCTGGACATAGTAAATAATGCAGTGGCGGTTAAGACAACAATTTTTCACTATAAGCGTATTCATTTGATGACCGCAGACAGATTTCGAACGGAATGAGAGGTCACACTGATATTTGTGGAGTGGTTTTTTTTAAATGTTCTACGCAGAGCCGAGAATGAGTCAATAACATATGTAGACGGGTTGTAATGTCGACATACACGCGACTTGTTAACAGGAACGACTCTACCATCTATACTCTTATTTTATTGCTCAGAGCATACAGAAAATTTTGACAATAGTACAAAACACATCATGGCTGTAAAATTATATCGTGCACGAAAATCAGCAATAGAAATATCGGTTGTAAGAGACGTGAGGGCTAGGGCGCTGAATATTCATTCGCATAGGTTTACTGTTGTGCACGTTGACCATGCTTTGCATATATAAATACCTTAGGCAAGTGTGTAGCGCGTTTGTATTGGTGGCATTTTTTTGTGCCCCCGTTTCCATAGTCTTCTGAAATATGTAAATATACTGTACAACATTCAATAAAAAAAAAAAGCACATTTAGTCTTCTGAGACTTCGTCTGAAAAAAAGAACAAAAAAACAATCCGCCTTCCATTGAACATTTAGAAGGCGGCTTAAAAAAAAGCCACATAAAAACAATTCAGAGAAATGACTGTGATCTATTTATAGAGGGTATCTGCTTGATTTAGAATTTGAGCGGCAGCCCAGTGAACAATTTGTTGCGGTTTAGGTAAAAAGTCATTTTAGGTGGTTAGAATAGCTTACTCTAGTAGTTAGCACTAGCTTGTAGTAGCGTAGGGTGGTCTGGAGTACGACTATGATGGATAGATACGTACAGACTCACTAATATCACTTACAGATTTAGGCGGCGCGAGATGTATCTTAGATACTATCCACACTCACACACACACACACAAACACACACACACACACACACGACAAACACACACACACACACACACACACACACACACGT